ATATATATATATATATATATATATATATGAGGAGGGTTCAAATGCTATCGATGTAACTTTTACGTCAATTTTGTTTTATAAGAATGAAGTATCAAATCATCTTAGATTAATATAAAATTTTGTATAAATGATCTAAGAGTAAAGAACTTTCAATCTAACGGTTGAATTTACAAAATTTACATTTAATATAAAGTTATTAAGCAATGTAACACTTAGTAAAAGTTACATCGGTGTCATTTGAACACTCCTATATATATATTAGGGGTGACAAATGAATGAAATGGATAATTTTTCAAGTAAATCATAATGAATCGGATAAAAATAATATATTAATTCATTTAAATCCATTAAAAATTTATATAAAAATCTAATCCATCCAATTTATTTAAGGCAAAAAATTCATCCAATTCATCTATTAACATTTTTTTTCATGGATGGATATTTAAAATAATTTTTTATTTTTGAAATATTTTATTTTTCTCTTTTTTCTTGTTGTTACGTTCTTATATAGTCTTTTAAAATTTACAATACTTACTTTCATGTTAAAATAATCTTTTAAAATCTCAATCTAATAAATATCTCATATCTTAATTTAATGAATTTTAAAAAAGTAATGAATGAATTACTATCCATCTATAAAATTAAATGAATGGACTAGATTTAATCTATTATTTATTTTTGTTGTAATGAATAAATTAGATGAATTTACTTGTGGATGGATTGGATAGATAATGGATAAATGGATTAAATTGTCATCCCTAATATATATAAAGGAAGAATCTACTCATTCTACTCAATAACTGATATTTTACATTAAATTTTACCGATCCAATCGATTAATTAATATTTCTTAATTCATAGATCAAGTTTACAAATTTTTTTAAAATTTGAAAATCATATACTTCATCTTATAAATTAAAATGATGGATAAACATAAAAACATTTTAGAAGTTGATATGAATCTATATATCAAAGTATTATATGATTTTTAATTTTTAAAAAATTTACATATTTAATTTATTAATTAAGAACACTTAATTCAATGATTAGATTGTTAAAATTTAATATAAAACATAAATTACCGAATGAAATAAATTTGGCTAAATTTAATCTTGAAATAAGTGAATCATTTCTTTTATATATATATATATATATATATATAGATATATATATAATCCTATCATTATATCTTACCTTGAGAATATTGCTTGAAAGCGATGAGGGCCCTCTTGATGAAAAGCGTACCACCATTGGAGCGGGCTTATAATCAGGAACAATAATTGTTGGTAGAACTGTTGCCACTGGATTGCTTTATATATATATATGCAGAAACAACAAAAAATAAAATAACTCGTGATCAAACAAGATTTTAAAATTAATAACATTTGCTTCCACTAAAATTTTGACCCACTCATGTCGTCCTTACTTGGTTGAATTGATATATTGGAGGAGTCTGGCGCCATCTTTAAAAGTTATGACTGTTGCTGGGTAGTCCACATAATTAAATGCTACCGCTCCATCTTCTTCACTAATATGAACCAGCCCTATTCCTCCCAGTGCTTTTACACTATCAATTTTCGTATAAGTATTCGAAACATAACCATCATCTTTGCCATCACAAACCACAATCTTCCCTTTCACTTTATTTCCATCTAATGAATCTTCGTGGCATTGTCTGCATTTAACCAGTGATTTAGTCTTTTAAATGCCGGCACGTTTTGAGTTTTGGCACATAACCAATGAAACGTACAAGTTCGTTATTCCTTAGTTGATTACTACATTTTAAGTTATCCAATTCCAAACTCTTAAGTTTTTAGCTTCTAATTAATTAATTATTCAGGTTTTTCATAGCTCATATATTTTGTATATGTACCTTGCATCGGCTATGTTGGTGCTATTCGCCTTCGCAGACTCACCATATATAATTGGATACTTGGGAGAATTTGAAAGAGGAGAGAAATTTATGGCTCTTCCCTGTAATTATCAACGATAAGCAAAGATTAGTTGCACCATACCGATTTAAAGTATAAACAAGAAATAAAATTAGAAAATTGTGATGAAAAATATAAAAAAAAAGTATATATTTAATAATTTTTTATGTAATTGAAAACACATATTATGATATATTAAATATTTTTTCCTAATAATACTTTTAAAACATTTATTAGTAAAATTCTAAAATGAATTATTTTTTTCATATGATTTTTTTTATATGAACTGAACCCTTTTCAAGTTTTTAAAAATTATTCAGTCATTCATGACAATTAATGATATCATTGAATTAACAAACTGAGTTAGTTGTGCAACTCTTTTAATGTAATGTTTTTAATAACAAAAATGTTAATAAGTATTGTTTTTTTTTGTTCGTCCCCGGAATATCCACCGCCGATAACAGTAATTAATCTCCTTACTAGGTTGGGCACATCAAAGGGTGGGATAGCTAGCCTCAAGACTTAAGCATACACAAGATAGGATTCAAATCTCTGACATTTCTTAAACGTGGAATCCTTACCGCTGAACCACACGCTTGGTGTTAATAAATAAGTATTGTAAGATAGATTTAATAACATGTGAATTTTTTTTTTATATAGATTTATTAACAATATTTGAGTAGAGATTATATATATTTGATTTTCAAGATTGAAAATATCAAAATTTCAATTTGAGGACCAAAAATAAATATCTGTTAATTGAAATTTTAAGTCTAATTTATATTATGTCTTTTACATTACACTTGTAAATAATAATAATAATTATAAACTATTTATATTTCTATATCTTTTGGATAAAAGAGAGAAGTAAATTTTAATTCAATAAAAAACAATTGTCAAGCACATAGCTATTGAGCTACCTTATAAACAAATAAAACACACAAGAGCAACTAGCGCAGTTGCTTTTCTGTTTCTTAAAGTAAAACCTGTTCATTTGAAAATAATAAACGAGTTAGAAATATTATAGAAAATAATTATTAATTTATATAAGCAACTTAAATAGTGTCGCTTAACAATTAAAATAATAATAATTTCCATAGTAAAAGGGGGTGAAATATACGAGTCGAGATAAAAAATGAGATATACTAAAATTAACAAATTGAATTTTACTATTACATAAAAAATTAGTATATACTATTAATTATTAAAAAAAAGTTGATAACATATAATTATGTACGTAGCTTTTTTGTTTTTTTGATCCATATTATGTACGTACCTTGATTATCGTGTTATCACCTAAAACGACGTCGGACTGAAGATCCCGGTCGATAGTGGAAGCTGCAACGGTTAAAATCCAAGGCGCGTCGTTGACAACCGAATACGGAGACGGGCCATCATTCCCTGCGGCGCAGACCACGACGATGCCGCGCTCGACGGCGTGGAATGCTCCGATCGCGACGGTGTCGTTGATCAACTCTGCTGGGGTCTCAGGGAGTCCACCCAGCGACAGCGACAACACATCCACACCGTCCGCAATGGCATCATCAAACGCTGCCAAAATTGCCGAACCGTCACAAAACATCCCAAAACACACTTTGTAAACCGCCAATCTTGAACCCGGCGAGCCACCCTTTGCGGTTCCCGGCGCCAAACCGTAGTACGATGCGTTCTCCACGACGGCGCCCACCGCCGTGGACGCCACGTGTGTTCCGTGGCCGTTCGAATCCCTTGGCGTGTTATCGTCCCCGTCTTTCGTAGAACTAAAAGACTGGGCGTAAACCCTTGCGCCGATTAGCTTTCTGATCAAATTCAAAATCAATACAAACGTAACCGTTAAGATACTGGGACCCACTTCTCATCCATACCATCCAAAACCTTAATGCTTAATAACGTATACAATAATTAATCAAGAATGCAAGATGCTTGTGATTTGTCATACTATCACGTTTCACAAGTATCTTGGAAATCACTTTTTGCAACAACATTTGCATTTATTTTCTATTTATATGTTTATTTCGCTTTCCTATGTTTTCTTTTTCAGAAATTATTCGATAGCTTTGCTGGAAACCAATAATTATATAATATATATTAAAAAAATAATATTTAGTTATATTATATTATCTAACAATCACTTAATAATTTAGAGACTAATTATAAATTATGTAATTTAAAATTATCGAATAATTTTTTATTTTTTTTTTTGTGGGAGCAAGTGTGTTTGACATGCATATTACCTATTACAGTTTGAGGAATTGAAGTATTTGGATTCCACACAAGTGCCTTTCCAATGGGATGGAATTGGACCCATACCCTTGTCGTTAAAACTCTCTGACTCTGGCCATATACCTGAAATGTTCTCTTTTTGAGTCACCATTTTTTAAATGATGAAATATATGTATGGAGTGCAATATTCAGTTGATGATGAAGAAAAAAAAATATATAGTACTTGACAATTATATATTATAAATAATAACATGTATATATTTATATATATTATGAATGAGATGTATGGTGAATAATCATCGCTTACAATCATTCATTCAATTTATTTTTCTTATTTATAATTTTTTAAATTTAAGAGCTACGAAGTGTCCTAATTTGTTTGTTTTTTTTTTCTATTAGTATATGTTATGTAAATATTTTTTTAAAATTATTGATAACCTGTGTCTAAGATGCCAAGGATGACGTCCGACGAGGAAGAAGAATTGGAGACCGTGTTTGATTTGGTACTGGTTTTGACACGAGTTTGGTGTTTGAGAAAATCCCATGAACGTGTAGTGTGGAGCTTCAGAATGGGATCAGGAAAAACAGACACAACACCAGGTTTTTGAGAAATTGAGTCTGCCTCCTCTTTTGTTAGACGAGCTGCAAATCCTGAGAAACCATGTTTGTAGTTTCGTACTAGTGCCTTCTTATCCCTTCATTCACAAAAGGAAAATTGTCACAAAATATGTACTATATTATCATATTACTTTAATGATGTGCACGTACCTTCTTAATACTGAATTCAAAAGCTGAGCATGGTCATTCCGAAGAGAACCATTTGATGAATCTGCGGCTCCCATATACACGATATAAACTTTTTTAGGTTTAGTGTCATCGTTACTATCATTCCCCGCTGATGAGCGTGACGCTCCAAGAAACAGCAAGAGAGTGTAGAACAAATGCAACAAAAGTGGATTGCCTTTCATGTTGACACTTTGTTGCACTCAGTGTGCACGCCCGCATGTTGTTATTTATAATGCAATCGGTCTGGTTGGGTGGTTAATTGTGTCAGCACTATTCTACGATGGTAGAATTGTTGCATGTTGCAATTACGTACTCGTCAAGCACTCCATCCATGCAAAATGTGGCATATGAAAATATAGTAGCCAAGCGTTTGTTAAAATTTTGTAGTTGGTGCCGACCACCATGCATATAATATATTCGATAACTAAAAGTGGAGGTAGTAACATTTAATGCGGCATGCCAAGGTTATATAAACAACATATACGACGGTTAAAGCCAAGCAACGTGTGCAATCATGCAATCCAAGTTATCAAGGTAGGGGAAAGAATAATCTCTTGGCTGCATTACTCTAAGCTCGCTAATTACAGCACTGCCGAAAAGATTCCTTATCCTCGGAATATTGAAAAATAATTACAGGTATACCGCACCCCTTTCGGGTGGATTGCCATCGAAAGAAGAATAACAAAGAAATAGAATGAAAAAGGAAAAGATAAACAGCGAAATTGATTGATGTAATATATATAATAATATAATAGAAAAAGGTTGAGAGTTACCAAGAAAATATGAAGCGGAACTACCGCTGGAAATTGTGATGTATGATAGTAAGTATTCCATTGACATGATAATTAATGAATTTATTCTTTAAAACAACATGTTTTTATATTTGTACTGTATTTATTTTTATATTTTATTTTATTTTTATTGAAATAGGTAAATCAATTAATATAATATATTTTAAATTTATAACGTAAGAAATTTACATTTTAGTGTTAGCTAAAAGAAGATGCTAAAACACCACAATATAGACGGTTATAGGAAAAAAAAAAAAAAAGGTTGGCTCCTTTTTCACTGCATTTAGAGCCGTCTTGACATTTTAAAAAATAATTTTTTATAAGGTATTTTACAATTTTATAAAATATTACATTTTTTTTCTTTATTTTTTGTCCGTATTATTGTGAGTGTGTCTATTTCTTGTTGTGTAATAATGAGAAGAGAATTTAAAAAATAAATATTTTCTTTCTCAATTTTAAATTTTTAATTGTCATTTATGAATTTTATTAGTATTGATACATAAATTTTGAAATGAAATAATATTTTCAACTTTGTCATGATAATTTAATGATAAGTAAGAAGAGTAAAATTTGTATAGATTTTTATTTTATAAAATTAATAAAATTAACTAAGTAATTAATTACTCATATTAATTTGCATAAATGTAATTATATTAAAATTTCCTTGTATTGTAATATAGATAGGACGAAGTATTATATAAAAAGTTAATCATTTATACACTGTTAATGTAAAATTTTTGACACTGACAACTAACCATATTTTTTAATAGATTTTATTTTATTTTTATTTCATTAAATAAGCAAATGACATAGCGCTATTAAAAGATATGATTGATTGTCGGTGTAAAAAAACTTTACATTGACGGTGTATAGGTAATTAACTCTTATATAAAAAAGTTAAACATGTAATTTTAAAAAATTAATAATATATATCTATATAATCCTTGACAAAATATTTTTATATCTTCATATTTATACAACCACTTCAAATAATTATATCCTTGTTATCACTCCATGTGCAATATAACGTTCATAATTTTTTCTGGGTTCATAATTAGATAATATAACGTTCAATTCTCCATTAAATAGATAGGTAGATTGAATTATTAATCGTAGTGCGTCTAATCAATATTCCCATATCTCACATTTGGATTTGGACACGCTAATATTAGTTGGTACACCGTTAATAATGACGCTAAAACATCAGTATTACAGTTGCACCATCCAGCTACTGGTGAAAGTTCTTTTCCAAAATTTCCATATAAAGATCATTTTTCATGTGATTTTGTTCTGTAAAACTCGTTAAAAATCTCAACGCAGATGTATTGTTTTTAATTTATCGTGTCAAACATATATATATGTAATATATCCTTTGAAATTTCAATTACATTTTTTTGTTTTATTTAAGAAAAAACAAAAAAAGGGTGATGGCCTTTGGTGTCAGTGTTCTGGGAGCATAAGCAAGTAGAGAACCGAACGCAACTAGTGAAGGGGCAAGCAGAAATAATAAGTAAAGAACCAAATTGAAAATGGATGTTTTTTTTAATATTAATGGGCTCACTTTGAGTTTGTATATTAATGGGCTTATTTTTTGCGGGTACAATACTAGAACTAGAACTCTGTAGAAGCCCAAGTAAGAGCGCAGATGAGACTGTGACGAACCCTTTTGAGTTTTGAGAACCATTTCGACCAAAAAAAGAAAAAGAAAAGTAGAGCAAAGAACTGAACTGAACAGTGAAGAAACAACAGAACATTACAAAACCACCCTGTTTGCTCTGTCTCTAACGAAGAGAAAATACCTTGGTGCCCACTGAACAACAACGTAGGTTTTGTCGGTTCCGTGGATAACAACAATGGAGCAACTCAAAGCGTTTGCGAAATCCGGCCACGACTTTTTCGACGGCCTTTTTGGGCGCCGCAATCCGGTATTTGCTCTCTCTCTCTCTCTCTCTCTCTTTTTCTCGCGTTTTAGGTTCTTTAGTGTTCCTTAACCATGATTAATCGTAAGTTCAGGTTGAAATCCTTAAACGGTTGCAGAGAGAAGCGTTCTCCGATCTTATGAGACTCAGAGACCGTCAAGAAAAGCTTGAGCGATTACTTTCTTTCTACCAAACCTCCAAAGGTGGTCCCTTTCGAGAGAACGCCACTCACGTGAGAGGCCACGTGGATTTTTCGGGTGCTTTGTTGGTGTTGGATAATGTTAGCTTAGAGGATGCTGCAGATAGGTGGGGAATCCGAACAGGCGTTGATTCCAGGTTCATTTTTGAAACAACCATTGGAGACAAGGGAACTGGTTCCGCTGAGTTTGTGGCCACTCACAGAGAGAGGGAACATTGTGATCAGAAGCCTCTTTCTCTCAACAAGCTTAGTTTTACAGCAAATGTCAATGATTGGTTTTCACTTGTGGCTTTGCCAATAGGTGCTCGATGCAGGGATGTTGCAATTGCTTCCAATTCTTTTCATCAGGTACCGTTTAATTCTATGTTTTTCCAGTTGGAATTTGTTCCATCTTGCAGTTTTTGGTATTTGGTGTTCTCTTCAAATTGGAGATGAGAATCCAGGAATGGTTTTTTGATATAAAATTCTCTACTAGGGTCTTGGGGATTGGATAGTATGCATGGGTCATTGTAATTTTTACGGATAGAAAAAAAATTCTAGATGAGGGAACATCAAGCTTACTGTAGAATGAAACTTTTATGTGAGTGCAAGTCCAAACAACATGCTAGTCGTTAGAAACACAATGCCTAGCCTTGAAAACTTTGTAGCAAAAGTGTTCTTGTGTGTGGATGGGTTTGTCCGAAGTATAAATGTGGTTCATTATCCTGAGGTCAATTCACCGGTCTATCTAGTATGTAGATGAATTATAAATAGTTTTACTTTGCCTGCTGTTTATCTGGATTTGCAAATCTCTTCTTGGGGGCCACAGATTTAGTAAACCGCTAGGACCATATTGTTTTGCTTGTACTAGAGACATTCATTTTGTTTAGCGTAAAAGAAAAATGTTAACACTAAAATGTTATCTACTCCACCCTTTGCTAATTGGGTCATTGTTATGCTTTGACATGGTCTTGTTCCCGTTTAGGTTGGGAAGAGGCTTACAGAATTTTCCTGTTTCGGACCACCTCTTTTGAACTCACACAATGGCACTGCTATCGGCATTACTGTGAGAAAGTCAAATGTTATTGCTTCATTGGCTCAACTTGTAACTGGTCTGGGAATGCCGCCTAGTTCTAACACAATGGAGAATAGATCTAGCACTTTCGGGCAACTAGCGTTTCAATTTCCTAGAGGAACTAAATTGTCTGTTTTGGGTGTTCACCAAGTGCCTTTGTCATCAAGACAGCTCGGAAATTTCGGAGCACTTACAATTCCAATAGTCTTCAAGCAAAATGAGGTATCTGAGTCTGTACCAGAAGCGTCACCATTGATGGGAATGAAGTCACGAGTCTCAGCTGATTCTATTGCTCTTTTGGCGGAGTCGGAACTTGATGGCTTTACAAAGATTGGAGGTTGGATTGAGATGAACAAATTAAATCCCAAATCTGTACAATTGGGTGTAATCATATCTGATGATTCTGAAGATTCATTAGGCTGGGGAACGAGTCTCAGTGGGACAATTGGAGATTCAGCAAATGGAACTCATTTTCAGGCTGAATCCTATCTAAAATTTAGTGTGGGTAATAATTCTTGTTTGAAGCCAGGTCTTGTATTGGGAATGGATGGGAAATCTAAAATAGCTGCTTTAATGCTTCAATCTAATTGGTCCCTGTAATGAATACCTGCATACTTTTCAGTTTGTTCAGATTTCAACATTTTATTTGACCAGGTATATAATATGACTAGCTATTCTTTGTTATATAGATTTGTTTGGTTCAAAAGATGTTTGGTTTTCATTCATTTCATACAGGTTCTAGAATGTATGTTGGCTTTCTAGATTAGTTTGGGATAATCTGATGATCTTTAGCATAAGTTATTCATCATGCATCCTGGGTACAATGCATTCAGGCATGACACAATATTTTTTTGACTATTAAAATAATAATGTATACACATATACATAATTCTCAGATTTCCACAGTTAGTGAGCGATATATAAGTTTCACAGTCAATTCTTGTTGAGATCGGTGGTCTTCTTGACCATGCAAAGGGTTCAAATCCTCTTCTTTCTGCTTTTAATAGATGAATTCATGTTTGATGAATCTCAACCATCGGTTAGATATTAAACCCTATTGGGTTAAAAAAATTATAACCCAATATTACTCACTCTGTTATTAGTCTCTCTCCCCTCTTCTTTCACGTATAACAACTCCGCAACTTCATTTCTTTTGCTCCACGATATCACAACAAAGAATACTAATTCAATTGATAGATGGTAGTATTGTTCATTGAAAATTTGACCACGTTATTTTACTAATGCAATGCCCATCTTGAAATATAGGATTCTGAGTGTTATGACATTGTTGATGATAAAACTATTAATAAAATATATACATTTTACACTGCTTTGTGACTGTACAAAACTAAGAGTATATCTAAAGAAAATAATATTTAGGAACTTACTATTAATAGATCAGTCTAATATATACATGTTTACTATTAAAAAAATTTGTTCGGTCTAAATGATTCAAATGTCTACATTCTGATATTGATGTGATAAGAATGATAAAATCAACCTTTAATTTTTTTTCCAACATTCAATCTATCATGGTTGTGGTTGCGCTTAGAGCAAAATAAATGGAGTTGATTGATAGATAAGAAGGTGTGAAATGTGAAAGAAGAAGGTAGAGAGAGATTAATGAAACGGTGAATTCTATTAAGCTATATTTTTGTTAATGGGATTTAATATTTAATTGATGGCAAGATTCTTCGATCAAAACTTCTATTGTTTAAAGGAACAAAAGGTGAATATCTAAATCAACCATGCAAAAATGTAGTTCTCATAATTCATTAGTTGTGTTTTGGTTTTTCCATAGTAGCTCGACAACTTTTTGTCACAAAATATGAAAATCATGGTAACACCTTTCAATACAAAAAACATTTTAACTTCCGAAGTATATCTGTGGCATGCTTGTAGTAATACTACCCTTCGTTAACCTCTAACTTCAATTACCCTATAATAATTTGACCAGACTAAACTTTCGTATGATGCAAACAGACAACTGCTTAACATTACAACAATTGAAAACTCACATTTCCTTATTTCATGTGCTTAATGCCCCCTTGCTTTGTACAAGTTTTGTTGAAAAATCAATCCTTTAGTCTGCAACTTCTTTTGAGAGGCTTGCATTTGAAGCACTAAATTGACGTTGATTTAGCATCTCGTGTTAAAAACTAAGGTTACTTCCATCCAATTATGCATTAATCTAATTTTCTTTTTTGTATTAAGGTGGGAGCAAAAGGCGTTTGAGTAAATTGGAGTTCATTTTAAGTGTAAATAGTAAGTAGGCCAGCTTATATATTTGAAAAAGTGTATTTGAGAAATTTAAATTATAATTAATTAAATTAAATTAAAATGGTGGGCAAATGAATTATAAATAATGAAGACTTGAGGGTAAGCACCATGAAGAACTAAACTTGAATTTATTCATCTCTCTTTTTAACCGGCTATTTAGTTAATACAAAAGGACTCCGAACCATATATTTGTCATTACTCCAAGTAATAGATCCAAATAGATCTTCTTTTAAAGAGGTTAGAGTAGAGGAGAAAGTAACTTGGTAACTTAATTTTTTACTACTTTTCGTAAACTGAAGTTTATTTGGAGTTAATGTAACCTTTACTCCACTAGGAGCATTGACAATAGAGGAGTATATTGTTTCATCTTCTTCACCAACATTTGTGACAGTTCTACTCACATTCACAACTCCTTTTCCAGTGAAGTTTACTGCTATGGAAGGATAGTTAATGTTGGAGATGAGATCAGAACTCAAATCCTTGGGGCAACTGAAATTGTCAGGGACAGTTCTGGAGATGACCTTAACATTGGTTATGTTAAGTCCCACGTAACACAAAAAGTTCAAGTAGTCAATGGTGTTGGTTTCATAAACTAGCCCTGGTTGCAACGGCTCAGATGTTGTCATTTCCCCTGCTCCATAGTCATAAGGTGTGGCTACTGACCCTGAATCTGTTGTTATGGGAGCCTTCAAGTTGTCATTTTGAATTGCTGCATATAAAAGTAGAAACATTGCTATATTACATAACTTAGGAATAATTATTTATAATTTATATGATTATACATTATATTGACATCATTTTTTACCCAAAATTTTGTAAGGAGGTTATTGTTAATGTCAAAGGTCAAATAAGCAAAAAAATTGTATATTTATCAAATGTTTGACCTGTAGTCATGATGGCCGATTTGATTGCAGATACACTCCAGGTAGGGTTTTGTATTTTGACATTACTTGCAAGCCCTGAAACATGTGGACAAGCCATTGAAGTCCCTGACTCTAATTTGAATAGAGAGGGTTTTCTTCCTTTGGGGACCTCTTCTGCACTATTTCCAATCCATGCTGCAAGAATGTCAACTCCCGGTGCTGCAATATCAGGCTACAAAAAGAAGAAATAGATTTTGTAGTGTTGAGCATTGAGATAGTTTTCAATACATATATAATCCTTATGCCATATTGTACCTTGAGAATATTGCTAGAAAGCGTTGAAGGCCCTCTTGATGAAAAGTTAGGCACCATAGGAGCAGGCTTATGATTAAGATCTGTAACTGTTGGTAGAATTGTTGCTACTGGTTTGCTTTATATTATATGTACAAAGAATTAAATTAAGCCGTGATTAGACGTGATTGTTAATCTTGATCTCAAATAAGATTCAAAACAAATTTACAAACTAAATGTTTGCTTGTAATAATTTTATGTGAAATTCTTACCTTGTTGAATTGAGATACTGGATAATCATGATTCCATCTTTTGAGTTTATCACCGTTGTTGGAAAGTCCACATAATTTGATGCTATTGCTCCTTCTTCATCGGTAATATGAACCAAACCTATTCCTCCTGCCCTTTTTACAATATCAACTTTATCTCTAGTTACATATGTTTCATCATTTTTACCATCGCAAACGACTATCTTCCCTTTGACTTTATTTGCATCTAATGTATCTGAATGGCACTGTCTGCATTGGACAAATGAAACATATGCTTTATTGAAAGGTTTTGAATGAAACACATGCTTGATATTCCTTAGTTGAATTTTAGATTTCCAATTTTGAACCCTCAAGTTTTTTAAGAATCTAATTCATTGATAGGGTTTTTCATAACTAGTAGATTTTGTACACGTACCTTGCTTCAATTAAGTCTATGTTATCTGCCTTGGCAGCCTCAGCATATATCAGTGGATATTGTGGAGAATTTGAAAGAGGAGAGAAATTTATGGCTCTTCCCTGAAGTTTAATAGTTATCAAAGATTGGCAAAGATAGCATTAGTTGTCTTATAGCCCTTTAAAATAAAAGTAAAAAATTGTGAAAAAATATAAAGAAGCTTTTATATTTTTTAAGTAATTAAAAACTAATTATACAATTTATTAAATACATAATTTAACTAATAATACTTTTAAAACATTTATTAACAAAATCCTAAAATGAACTATTTTTTTCATCTGATTCTTTTTTACATGATCTAAAATTTACTTAATTCAAGACTTAAGTGCTTGAATTTAATTAGAAACTTAAATGAAAGAATAATCATCTATTGGCCGCAAGGAGGGATCCACGTTTTAGAGAGTGGGGGCTACTATTTGACACATATATAATTTTTTATTTAAAAAAATAGTATATTTTAAAAAATAAAAATTATATTCTAATAAAACAAATATATATGTTTAAATTATCATATGTACAAAATATAAATTCGAAAAAAATGTTTATTTATTTGATGTTTGTCAAACTTTTAAAAGAGATTAATTCTTTTATGTGATAAAGAATACTCCTTAATAATGAATCAATTTTTTAAAAAAGTTTAATTATAATATATATATATATATATATATTAATACTCACATATATAATGTAATATATTAAAAAAATATTTTTTGATAAAATAAAATTTGCAGTATGCATGTTTACCTTTTGTATTTTCTATTTATTGTATATGTTGATTAAAAAGATCAAAATAGCAAAATTGTATATGTTGATTAAAAAAATCAAAATAAAAAAAAATCAAAAGATTTATATTTCATTTAGAATTGTTATTATAAAATATATTTTAAAATAAATTATCATCTAAAAATATATTATATATTAAAAACATGATTATATCATAAATAAATTAAACTTGATTTTTATAAAAATTAACATATTTATTTTTATATTTTAATAGTATTAAATTATTATAAAGTAGGTCTTTAGGATTGTAGTTCTATCCAAACATTTTAAAAATGTCTATGATAGATAAATAAGTCATACTTATGATATATATTTTTAAAAAAAGTTAGGTTCAAACTTACTAAATTATAATAAAATATAATCTGACCTAATTTATTTTTATCTTTAATTTGTAATTGTAGATATAAAAGCTTGTAAAAAAATAATTATGATATATATTTATGTCTTTAAAATTTATACATAAAATTTTTAATACTATAAATATATAAATAAATATTGCCCTCACTATCTAAAATTTCTGGATCCGTGACTCATGATTGGCCCTAGAAGATGTTTGGAAGATAAAAGTTTCCTTTCTTCGAAAAGCCATACTTGTTAGTTTGACTACCATTTTCTTTAAACTTTTTGCATTTGAAGCATTATCATATTGCATGGCACATAATTCAGTAATTTCCATTCTAATATCTGCTTCTTTTTTTCTTCTATGAAACAAAATTATTTTTAAGGTCCTTAGTTTATTGTCATTAATTCAGAGAATTGATTTATATTATTTCTTTTTAATTCATACGCGTATATATATATATAACAACAACAACAACAACTTATACTACATCACTTATATGTATCTCTCAATCAATTTATTTATTATGAATACATGTACAAAAATGATCATGTATCGTTACTATATATTAATAATTTAACAGTGTCATCCCTTTCTATATGAAATTTAATTGATAGATTTCATTTTATTTCATAACTATATATGAAAAATAAAGAGAAAAAAAATAAAAAAAAATTAAAGTTGAAAAATTGACTTGAATTCAGTATGTACCTGGAAGGTTTTGTTACTACCCAAGACGATGGAGGACTGAAAATCTCGATCGATGGTGGAAGCAGCAACGGTTAAAATCCAAGGCGCGTCGTTGACTACAGTGTAGGGACTGGGACCAGCATTCCCGGCAGCGCATACCACCACGATGCCACGCTCCACGGCATGGAACGCTCCGATCGCAATGGGGTCCGTCGTCAAGTCCGGCGTGAAGCCAGGGGAAGCACCCAGTGACAGCGACAGCACGTCCACTCCGTCGGCAATGGCGTCGTCAAATGCCGCCAGAATGGCCGAACCACGACACCCAAAGCTAGAACACACTTTGTAAACCGCCAATCTTGAATCTGGGGACCCACCCTTCGCGGTCCCCGCCGCAAGACCGTAGAACGATGCATTTTCCACGGTGGCGCCCACGGCGGTGGACGCCACATGGGTCCCATGGCCAAATGAATCTCTTGCCGTGCTGTCATCATCCTCATTAGGGTCCGCATAATACCTTGCGCCAATCAGCTTCCTAATCAAATTTAAAAGTCAAAGTCAACACAAACCTAATAGTTACTCTAGTGGGACCCACTACACATCAATATGATGGAAATATTTAATAATATAAACAACAATGAATCAACTAAAGTGGTTTTAATTTGCTATCATTCAATCACCCGTCTTGTTAGAAATTAATCGCATTTTTAGTTAATAACAATAGCAACATTTTTCTTTATTTATTTATTTATATGTTTTTGGTGGATATATAAGTGTGTGCTTGAGATTTGACCTGTTACAATTAGAGGAATTGAAGTCTTGAGATTTCATGCAGGTGCCTTTCCAATGGGATGGAATTGGACCCATACCCTCGTCGCTAAAACTCGCTGACTCTGGCCATATTCCTAAAAATGAAATATTCCTTTGTTGTGTTAATATTTTTCAAATGAAGAAACATGCATAATCAATAACATGTACATATATATTACGTAAATGTTATCATTTTTCTTTAATCATTGATAACCTGTGTCTAAGATGCCAAGTATGACATCTGACGTTGAAGAAGAATTGGAGATCGTGTTTGGTTTGGTGTCGATTTTGACGTGAGATTGGTATTTAAGAAAATCCCAAGAACGTGTAGTGTAGAGCTTGAGAATAGGGTCTGGAAAAACAGACACTACACCAGATTTATGAGCAATTGTGGCTGCCTCATCTTTCGAAAGTCGAGCTGCGAACCCTGAGAAACCATGTTTGTAGTTCCGTATTAGAGCCTTCTCATTCCTTCATTCATAACAAAAAAATATTGTCACAAAATACTAACATATATATATATCATCAAATTAATTTATAGATGAGCACATAATAATATATGTTACTACCATATATTACGTACCTTCTTAACACTGAATTCAAAAGATGAGCATGGTCATTCCGAAGAGAAGCATTTGTTGAATCTGCAGCTCCCATATACACAATATAAACTTCTTTACTGTTATTACTTCCATTTCCTGCATTTGAAGAGCTTGACGCTCTAAGAAACAGTAAGAAAGCGTAGAGTAAATGCAAGAAAAGTGTATTATTAATTTTCATGTTACTTCAAGTTGTCTTAACTCTTAGTTTCACTTGGTGTGGTTTGGAAACAACCTCACATGTTATATATAAAGCAATGGATGGGTGCTTAATTGTGTCAGCAATGAAGAGCAATTTAGATCTACTGTTAAAGAAAAAGGTACGATCTGCGATGGTGGAATAATGGCATGCTTTATTCCATATTTCCATATGCGCAATGCAATTACGCGCGTGAAGCACTCTAGCCACGCAAAGTGCGCCATTTGAGATGTAGTTACAATATATGCAAATTTTGCAGTTAGTGCCAACCACCATATATTCGATAACTAAAAGTGGAGGTAGCAACCCGCTGGTAACATTTAATGCGGCATGTCGATCCATATTATTATATGAACAACATATTTCGCTGTTAAAGCTAACTAAGCAATGTATGTTATTGCTATCAATCAAACTCATTCATTAGTTAAAGTAGCTACGGGAATGAAACGCCTATTGCCTGCATTAATAGCTACCTCGTTAATTAAGTGTCCTTTTAGTTAGTTTACGGCTTTAATACAATTGATTTAAATAAAATTATTTGTTTCATAAATATAATTACTCAAACCATGCTATTCAGCTGAACCAAAAACATTCCTTATCCTTGGCATTCATCATAAGTTCCCGATTTTGAAAAGTAAATTAACAGTATAGTAATTAACAATTATAACCAGCACTATCACACACATATATGACCTTTGCTATCGTGGCCTGTCCGTGGGTTTGTACCATAATCATTATATATACGACAAATCTAAGAGAACTTGATAAGAATTTTATAATTAAAAAAATTTGTTTATATTTGGACTGTATACCGTGTTAAATCTTTTTTTTATTCCTTAATAACTATTTTTATAATATATATATATATATATATATATATATATATATATATGGAATGATAATACATTCCTACCTATTTTTTAGTTGGAGTATGTTAACAATGTACATCAAAATTTTAGGACAAGAAAATCACTCATTTCTTTTGATATATATATATATAAAGATAAAAATAGATTAGATAAGTTAGACTTTATTTAACAGACGTAACATTGTTTAAATACACATTATATAAAGTTGGTATATATGTTTAAATATATATTATATAAAGTTGGTAGCTTTACTGGTTATAGACCTTTTTTAAATACTATCCAGTGATGGTTTCATGCGTAATTGACGAGGAAGTGCAATTGCAACCTGACTTTTAAGATATTATATGTATATATTTTGAATTATAGATTTTTTGTCCCTCTAAAATTATAATTTGAACTACTCTTCCTAATTTCTCAATTGTTAATTTTTCTTTTATTGGCTAATTCCTAAATTTATATGTATATGTCTTGAATTATATGATTTTAATACATTATAATTGATATTATAATAATAATTATTTATTTATTTTATTTAAATAGGTCAACTAATAATCTTTTAAATAGTTTATATTCTAGTCTTTTTGACTAAATAAGTTTTAATAAAAACTTTAGATATCACAAGAAAAAAAAAAGTCAGCCTTGGTCTAAGTATGGTTTTATATATACATAAACTCACACGTGATGTCTACTTCTATTAAATTACTTTTAATAATCTTAAAATAAAAGGTATTTAAGAAATAACGTTTCTTAATATATCGAAGGTTATATTTTTTTATTAAATGTTTGTTTTTATTTTTTTATTGAATAATAGGAAACATAATTTAATGATTGTTATTTTTATGCATTTTAAAAACATATATTTATATTAAAAACTAAATAATTTTGAGTTAACGTAAAATTTCATAAATGTACATGATTTATATAACATACACATGGTGAGTGCGTTCTGATGGAGAAATTAAAATGATTATCGAACTAGAAATGAATCATGTGGCTGAGGGAAGGCACGCCCTTAAGTTCACCATTTGTGGAGAAATGCTTATCTTATGTAATTTATTAGATAAGTTGATTATTTGTATCCACACAGAGATGCTGAAGGTGTTAATTAGTTTGGTTTCTTCAATTGACGGAGTTGGATGGATGCATATTCCCACTTTAATTTTTATTTTTCTGAATCTGTCTCATCCATATGCGTGAGTCATTGATCAGAATTAGCGTAGTGCGCCACTATTTCCATTTTCCACATTTGATCTTATGATATCTACTTACGCATGCAGTATTGCTCTGCACAACTAGATTGGCCTCTAATGTTAGTTATCTTATCCAGATTAATTAATTCATAAGGAACAAAATGTCCTTATAGGTGCAAGTGCAACATCTAATGTCAATTGCGTTGGCGTATCAATATTTAAACTGTTAAGAGAACTCCATCACAGTGATCATGAATATGATAATGAGAGGGCACATTTGTTGAAGAAGGTGTTTGCTATGCAGGAATAATGTGATGAAAATAATTATAACTAATTAAGATTATGGAGGGTTAATGCATATAATGGTATGAAAATGAAATATGGTGGGTGCTTAATATCAGTTGGTACACCGTTAACTATGAAGGTGGAAATTAAACATCCAACTGCTGGTCACAGTCTTTTTCCAAAATAAATAATAAAGATGGATTTTTCATGCAATTTTTTTTATATAAAACTCCTTAAATTTCTCAACCAGGCCTAGGATGTATTGTGTTAGACGAAACACAAATAGAATCATTTTAAGATATTATTTTAATTATGAATAAACTATGTCTATATATTTCCAACAATCTTCCGAGAGCGAAAACTCTGGTTCTATTTTTTTTTCTTTCAAAATCATAGAAAGATATATTACTTTTTTTTTATATATAGATATTGCTACTAGTGATGTTCAGGTTCAGTTTCTTAAAAATTGTTATGTGTTATTATTAATATATCTATACCTTTAATTTCATTGGATTGTTTAACCAATATTCCTTCATTTACCTTGTTATCGTATTTATTAGAGTTGTCAAACATGTAGGTTTGACCAAGCTTGTCTGATTGAGTGGAAAAAAAAAAGTGATTAATTTTATCCAACTTAAATTTTACACAACTATGTTTTTTTTTTAATTTGACATATAATTTGTTGGCATATCAAATTTGGTCAAATTGAGTCATTTTATTTATTTTTAATAATTTTACATGTAATTTCAAAAATAATTGAGTCAAATAAGTTTGGTATCTTTCAATCCTAAATTTTACTGGCCTGACTTAGTTTAATTGACACGTGGGTTAAATTAGTCAAATCTTTTTTAAACTTATTTCAATATGAAAAACTCAATAGAGAAAACCTATTAAATGTCAAAGACCAAATAAGAATATGAAGGTAGAAACATACTAAAGAAAAACTCTCTATTTAAAATATATTTTTTAAAAGACATAGATAAATTATTTTAATAAGTTATTAATATAAAGCAAATGTTAGACGATATACAAATAGAAAGTTTTAAGTTATTATTTAAATTATTAACAATTTTTTTCTATTTCTATTTCTAACCATCCAAAGAGAAAACTCTGATTCTAAAAGATTTTTATTTCAAAATATTTACTATTTATGGAAACAAATATTACTTCTTTAGATGTGGCTGCAAGTGAGGTTGAAGTTGACTTTCTTAAAAATTTTGTTAGAGCATCTACAATAGGAGTTGCTTATAAACAACTCCCAACCACTTTAAATGGGTCCCACTGTGTCACATCACTCATAAGCAATTCATACTATATTTTTACAACTTTTGCTCCAATACAAATTGCTTATAAGCACCTCAACTTTTTTACAACTCATACTACACTTTTTGACACCTCACATTATATTTTATAAAAAAAATTTATAAAATTAATTATTATAAATAATATATAAATATGAATAACTAATAATTAAAACAAATTACATAATTAAAAAATTGTAATAATAAAAAAAATAAAAAATTTTAATAATAAAAACAACTCTAGGTGAATATCACAAATAAAAAAAAGTATTACATAATAATAAAAATCCCAAAAGTATTCCCTTCACTCTCCCTGCACTCTCTCTTCTCCGACCGGCGCGCGGAGGTGTTGATCTTTCGGAGGGGTCGCGCGTGGAGGGGTCGCGCGTGGAGGGGTCGCGCGCGGAGGGGTCGCGACCGGAGGTGGTCGCACGCGGGGCGGAGGGGTTCGGCTGGGGGCTTCTGGCGCTCGCGGGGCAAAGGTGGTTCCCGCGCCGGCGGCGGGTCTGGCTATATGGAGTCGCGCGCTCGTGGCGGAGGGGTCTGCCCGCACGGAGGAGATGAACGTGCTGACTGGGTCGCGCGGAAGGGTCGCGGGCTTAGGGGGTCACGCGCGGAGACACACCACCGGCGACGCGCAACCGGCAACGCGCGAACGGCAACCGGCGACGCGCGAAAGGCGACCGGCGACACGGGCCGGCGTTGGCAGACCTCCAGGGACGAACGAAGATGAGGTGAACATGTTTTTTTCTGTTTTTTTTTTATTTTCATAAATCTGCTCCACATTCCACGTAGATCATTTTAACCAATCAAAATTCTCTTGACAATGCTAAGCACCGTGCCTTGTACAAGCAACACCAAAAAAATTTTAAGCAATGCAAATGCCATGTAGGATCACTCCAATGACAGTTTCTAACAAGCACCGTTGCTTATCAACAAGCAACACTCTAAGCACCTGCCGCTGGAGGTGCTCTTATACCCTTGAGTTTTATAATGTTAATTGTGAATTGTATTTCTTCGCTAATGTTCCATTAAATATAAATGGAATGCTAACATATGTGTCAAAATTAATTGAATTTATATCCCTAACTTTTACTTTATTTCAAATTTTGCTTTTAAATAATTTTTTTTGTTAAATTTTCTCTCTAATTTTAAAAATATTGTGAATCATAATACACCATCATACTATACTTAATATGACTATAAATGATAATTTTAAATTTCTATTAATATTCATATAAGATAACTGGTAAATATTAGATAATTTAGTACATTAATACAAATATCACATATATTAATACATATACAATAACTCAATGAATCGACATAATAATTAAGTATCACTTACTCATATATCAGACTTATGGGAAACACAATACTACAAGCATA